AAAAATAAGAACCAAGATACATCATGTAAAGGTACAAGTTCCCAATGATAAATGTAAATGTATACCTAAAATGTACCAATAAAAGAATTTAAGGAAAGAAAAAAAAATTAAAAAGGTTCCAAGTTTGATCCCTGGTACCAAAAATAAAAATCTTTTTCAAACGGTAAGATTCTTCACTTAAGCTTTAAAATCCTCTACACACATCAAAAATGAAGCTTGGCATTTTCAAAATCTTGAAACCACACTGAAAACCACTTAACATTATTCCCTCTAAAATGAACAGGTGAAAGAGCTGCATTAGTCTTAATCCTATTTCAGAACTCTCCAGAACTCATCGAGTCCCCAGGCCCTGCAAACTGGAGTCATCGCTAACTCTCAAATCAGGCGATCTTTTTTTTCTTGGTAACGGAGATCAAACTCGGGACCTTGCTTGCAAGGCAAGCGGCGGAACTACTCAGCTAAATCCCCAGCCCATGCGCACTTTCTTTAGGGCAGAGCACATGTTATATCCTAACAGGAGACAATGCTAAGTCCATCAGAATCACTTATTCTGCTAATACGAATTGAGTAGGTCCTATGTGTGTGGCACTGCTGCAGGTACTGGAGTAAAATGGAAAAGTTCTGCCCTGAAGCCCCTACATTGTATTTGTGGATACATTAAATTTTAACTTAATCTCAGAACACGCAAGTCATGCAGAAATAAAGCACAGCAAGGAGGCTGAAACTAAGAGGGATGGGTCTTCGGTAAAACCTCTTCGAGGTGGTAACTTCTGAGCAAAGACTTAATGGAAGAAGCAGACAGGAAAATGTATGTGTGAGATCTAGGTGGCCCATACGGCAAGTAAAGGACCTGAAGCAGGAGTAAACTTAAGTAATGGTAAGACCAGCTGGACTGTTATTTCTCTCCTTGGCTGACCCCAGCTGAGTTTCACTAGTACCTGTATTGCCCCAGCCTCTATCAGGACAAGTATGGGACCAGGGATTTGGCTCAGTGGTTTTGCCGCCTGCTGCGCAAGCGCAAGGACCCGAGTTCAATCCCCGGTACCAAAAAAAAAAAAGACACATGCGTTCAAAAGGATTCCTTAATCAATTCAGGCTGCTGGCTATTTTCCTACTGGACACAACTGTCTATCCATCCCTTTTCAATATTGACGCGTAATCTGATTTTGGACAGATCCTTCAACAGTCAAGACATCAGTCCTCAAATGGGATATACTATGTCACAGATGACTACAGGTTTAAAAATTTAAAAAAAACAAAACCTCAGTAACTATATTTTCGGAACAAAATAAGTGGCTTGACAATGGGACCAAAAATTTTAAAACCTACACTCTTTCGCAGCCCTACTTCTGCAGGGCGCTGATCCCCACTTGGGCAATGAAGAGGACTCTTAGAACCCTCGGTGCGGGGAAGCGGTAAGGACACGGAGCCGGGCTGAGGAAACACCCCTGTCCCGCTCCCACCCGGCGCCCTCCCCGCCCCCGGTATCCTCCCGCTCGCTCCTCCTTCGGGAACCCCGCCGCCCGGAGTGCAGCGGGCCTGGCGCGAACCTGGGGCCGCGAGCCAGCAAGTGGGCGGGGCCGGGCAGGGCGCGGGGTCCTTCCCTTCGTGGGAGAAGAGTTCAGGGCTCGTCCGGGATCGGCAACAGCAAAGGAGCAGAGAGAAGAGGCCCGGCGGGCTGACGGCGCCGCCTAACGGCCGGCCGGGGACGGGGAGCCAGGCCACGAGCGGCGACTGAGGGACCGCGCGCGGCCTCCGGGAAAAGCCGGGCCGAGCCGGGCCGAGGGAGGGCGGAAAGGCCGCGCACTTACCCAGAGCTTGCGAGCGCGTGGGCCGCGTGGCCGGGAGGCCGGCGCCGCGCTCAGAGCACAAGGGGGCGGCCGAGGCCAAGGCCACGCGGAGCATACGGCGGCGGCAAGGGCCCGCGAGCATAGGCCGCCTGATCGGCTCCCGCTCCGCGTACCGGAGGACTCACTGCCGCCCCCTCGGCTGGGCTCGCACATGTGCGACGCACCGAACCCGCGGGCCCCGCCCCAGCCGCGAGGAGGCCCCGCCCATAGGCGGGAGCCTGTGGGACAACAAGAGGGCGTCTCGCGGCCACACCTCCACGCTTTGACTGGGCGGGAGATGGGCGGTCCACTTGGAAGGACGTGACTGGACAAAAAGTCGTTTTATCATGCATCAAAGAGCTCTTTAGACCTTCAGGGCTTCTAAAACAGCGATTGCTTTATTAGTTGTGTTTGAATCCGAGTTTCTTCTACACACTTGTGGCCCTTTCTTGTTGCACCCCATGGCGCAGTTAATAGTGAGAAGAAAATCACTTTAGGGACAGGCCCTGGGAATGTAGCAGAATCCAAAAGAGCATCCACCCACTTCTTCTGGCCCTACTGACCCCTTCCATAAGACCCCCTTCCAGAAACCTGATTATAGCTAGTTTTAGCTTCTGTTTAAAGAAGCATAAAATTCATTTCCTTTCCCATGCTCTTCAAATAGCACTCCTTTGTTCGAAGCCTGTAGTATTTCAGATCTAGTTATTTTGCCAAACTTCAACTCTAAGGGAAAAACCAAAGTTGCTTGAAATCATATGTTTTTGTTACACTTGTTTTTAAAACATGGGTTTAGTGTGGGGATCTGAGCATGGATCGTTCACTCGGTGTGGTGGGGTTGTATACTGCCTCTTTCTGCGATTATCCATCTCAGTAATGCACCTCAAACTTTTTTCTGACCTTAATTCTCGTATAGTTACACGTCCTTGGGCTGTGGTTAATTTATAGGTTAATGTACCATGACAGCAAATGCAAATATTTTTACCAGAACCACACAGTAATAATTCAACCCTATGCTCTTAGCTTTTGTGTACTTGAAAAAAGTATCTTCTCAAGCATCCCAGGTTTGGGCCAATCTAATAGTTGTGTAGTGTTATACATTATTGTTCTGATTTGCAAACACCAAATGTTAATTAAAGTATGTAATAACAGGAACTCTCTCATTCACTATTTGCAGGAATGCAAAATGGTACAGCCACTTCCGAAGTTCAACAGTTTCTTACAAATATATTCTCACCATATGATCCAGCAATTTCACTCCTTAATTATCCAAAGGAGTTGAAAATATATGCACACAAAAACCTACCCATAGGGCTGGGGATTTAGCTCAGTGGTTCTGGTGCCTGCCCCGAAAGCGCAAGGTTCCAAGTTCGATCCTCAGTACCAAAAAACAAACAAAAAAACCAAAAACCTACCCATAGATGTTTATAGGAGCATTATTAATATTGCCAAAACTTGGAAGGCACCAAGATATAAACTGTGGTATATCCAGACTATGGAATATTATTTATTGCTGAAAATAGATGAACTATCAGGCCATGAAAAAACATGGAAGAACCGTAAATGCATATTACTAACTGAAAGAAACCAAACTGAAGTGGCCACATTCTGTATGATTCCACCTACAGTATATGACATTTTGTAAAAGGCAAGATGATGGAGACAGTGAAAAGATCAGCAGTTGCCAGAGGTTAGGATGAATAAATAGGGGGAAAAAAGGATTCTTAAGGCAGTGAAAACACTATCATACTATAATGGTGGATACTTATCATTATGGTTTAGAGCTAAAATGTTTCCACAAGTCTTCTGTGTTCTGAGGTGGAGCTTTCAGAAAGTAATTGGATCAGGAGGGCTCTAACATCATCAGAAGTCTAATTCATTGATGGGATCATATTTTGGTGGCGTTATTGGGAGGTAATGGAAACTGTGACTCAAAATAAATCTTTTCTCCTTGAAGTGGATTGATGTCAGTCCTTTGGCCACTGAGACAAAAAGCTAATACACGTCACTATACGTGTGTTCAAATCCATGAAAAGTACAACACCAAGATAAAGTAGGGAGTCTAACATAAAGTAGGGAGTCTGGGTGATCTGATATATCAGTGGATGTTGGTCAGGTGTCAAAAATGTACCACTTAGGTGAGACATGTTGATGGTGGAGGTGGCTCTGCATGCATGTATGGGGGCTGGAGATGTATGGGAAATTGCTACCTTCCTCTAAATTTTACTGTAACCTACTAAAGTTGTTTATCTCTCTATACAGCATGATGAGTTGCTATTCTTGATTTTTCACTTTTAGGCACTATCTACCGATTTCACTTAATGGAACATGAGGATTTAGCTCTCCTTCCCTCCCATTTCTCCCCCATCCTTCTCGCCCCTCCCTCTATCCAGTATGATCATATTAGATTTTTTTTTAGGTGGGTGTTTACTTCATTACAACTAGGGTAACAATGCTCACATCTTAGGCACATAGCAAACTATGATTCCTTCTCTTTCTCCTGCACAGTTTTTCCCTCCGTAGATAATATTCTCTTATTTTGGTTTACTCTCCATGACTTAGGCCACCCCAAACTCCTTAATGCTTGCTTAACTCTTCCGCTCCAGAAGTTTGGACAGATATGGTGTCCCATCAGTTTCACGTGCTGAAAGAGCCTCTTTTGCCCCTCCCGATCTGCACCAATCCACACCTAGTGCACACTAGGTGAGGTGAGCTTCTCACTTCATTTTTTTCCGGAGTTGTACCTTTTGTCTCTGCATCCTATGTGTTGGGGTTTGAAATTTGACATTTAATCTGCATTTTGGGTATAAGAGGTGAGTCTAGCGGCTAGACATGTAACTCAGTGATACAGTACTTGTTTAGGCCCTGGGTTTGATTTCCCGCACTGAAAACAAACCCCAACAAACCAAAGTGAGCCTAGGTAAGGCCTTTAAGAGGTAATAAGTGGGCCAGGGATTTAGCTCAGTGGTTCTGGCACCTGCCTCACAAATGCAAGGTCCTGAGTTCGATCCCTGGTACCAAAAAAAAGAATTCAACAGAATGGACTAAAACACTATGTTGTCCTCTTCTTCCTCTTCCTTATCTTTTTTTTTTTTCTCGTGGTTATTTTCTCATTTTAAGGAAACACAACCTTCAGGTAGTTTCCTGAGGAAGGAGAGGCAAATGAAAGGTCAATATTTGAGATCTTGAATGTCTGAATGTAATTTTATTTTCACCCCATACTTGATCCATAGTTTATTAATCAGTAATAGAATTCTACTTTTGGGCCGGGCATTTAGCTCAGTGGTTCCACTGCTTGTCTTAAAAGTGCAAAGTCCCGAGTTCGATCCCTGGTACCAAAAAAAAAAAAAAATTCTAGTTTTAAATATATTTTCTTTTGATATTTGGTGGAATTGCTTTTCAGAAATCCAAACATATTCTGATTCTTCATCATTTGTAAGTAATTCAGTTTTCTCTCTGGAAGTCTTTCTGCCCCCATTGATGAGCCTTGGAGTGGGTCAGTTTTTATCAGTTGTGTGTGGCACCTGGCTGCACATTTCAATTTGGAAATTCATGATCTTCAGTTTGGAAACATTTAAAAAAATTATTTTGTTGATAATTATTCCATCCCTAACTTGCACTCATTTTTTTTTCTTTTGGAATTTTTTTTTTCAAATTTTGGTCTCCCTGGAGTAGTCCTCTATTATCGTTTCTTTCCTATTTTTCATTTCTTCCCTATTTTTCATTTCTTCATCCTTTTGCGCCCACCCCCACCCCATGCTATTTCCCAACATTTATCTTTTAGCCTTTGGTCTTTTCATTTCCTTTTTTTTGTCTCTGAATGTTCCTTTTAAGATAGTATATTTTTCTTATTTTTATATTGCCAACGGTAACTCATACCTCAGGACATGCGATACATATATCTGAGTTTTCTTCCCTGCTTCTTCTAAGGGTCCCCAACCCCCCATACTACCTTTCTTGTTAGTGTGTGTGCGAGGCTGTCAAATCCCTGGTCCTCCGCCTACCTCTTGCTGCTAGGTAACTCCTATTCTTCCTCCCGGGAAATAACAGAGGGCTAAGGCTCTCCCCTGGGCAAAATGCATGTTAGCCGTTGAATGCTTTTTCTTCATTCATCTCCCAGGACACTTACAACCAGATCTGCACCCTCCACGTTGGAAATTGGAGGGTCATCTCTGTGGAATGTGACCTGCCTTAAAAGAAAGATTGAAAGATAACTGACATTCACTTAAGATCTCCAAACAGGGCCGGGGATTTAGCTCAGTGGTTTCGCTGCCTGCTGCGCAAGCGCAAGGACCCGAGTTCGATCCCCAGTACCAAAGAAAAGATGTCCAAACAAAGTCGAACCAAATAACCCTATGATGAGGCTTCTAGTCCACAACCCCTCCCTCCCAGAACATCTGGATATAGTCTAAAATAGAAATTTAAACAATTTACATAGAATGAGGAATATGGCTCCGTCTTTCTTTCCAAGCTCAGAGGAAGCGAGGGAGTTCCCGCAGTGGTTGAAGGTTGAAGGACCGCCCCCTTCTTCTCCGCGTCCTGAGCTGCGGTCCCAACTTCCGGCCAGCAGGGGGCACCGTGCTACAGACCGGCGGCTGCGCGCGCAGGGCCGCTCTGGCAGGAGGGGAAGGAACCAGAGACTGCGAGAAGAAGTCGAGGTGGCGCTCGGCTCTACGGCCTGAGAGCCGCGCAGCCGGGTGTCGCTGTGCGGAGCCGGACCCCGCAGCCACGACTGCGCGTGGCGCTGGAGACTCGCGCGGAGGCATGATGCTCCTGGCCGGCGGGATCGGCGAGGCTCCGGCAGCCCCGGTGAGGCGGCCCTGGCGACCTGGGGAGGGGACAACGGTGGCCCAGTGATGTGGCCCAGAACTCCCGTGGGAGATGGTCCCAGCGAAGTGACTCTGAGAGCTTGGGAAGGTGGTTCCCACGGCCCAAGATAGAGGGCCTGACCGGACTATTCCAGGGGAGGTAGACCCAGGGAGTGCCGATGTCCCTGGGGAGGTGGCCTCGGTGACCAGGCAAGGTAACTCGGATCCTGGGGACGTGGCCCTGGTTTGGAACCTGCATCGGACAGCCCTGGCCCCTCAGAAAGGCCGCAGGAGGAGGCATCTGGGACCAGTGAGTGCCCTTGGTGCCCGGGATGAGTCCCCTGTAGGACTTCAGTCTTAATTTGCTTGTCACACTGTTTTCCTTCCAGTGCTGCTCGGAGAGTCGTGACGAAAGGAAGAAGAAGAACACAGAGGAGAAAAGTAAGCAGGCTCCATACACCTTAGCTCTTTTGGCCCAGTCATCCCTCCCAAGACCCTCCAGGGTCTGCAACAGAGAAAGGTTCTCAGCCTGTCATCTTTTAGATAAAGTACCTTTTTTCTGTACAGTAATAAATACTGATTTATTTATCATAATACATGCATTTTTGTCTTTCTAAGATTGTAAAATACAAGATGTGGAGAAGAGCTCTTCCCAACCCCACCGAGGGCAGGCACTGGTGTACTGCACTGGAGGTCTGCCCATCGGACTGGACATAATTGGAACCTGCCTGTCATTCCAAAGAAGCATCGGCTTATTAAGCATGAGGAATATGGAGGGGCTGATGACTAGGAGGGATTACCACCACCTTAATTGGGTGCAAAGGAACCAAATACAGTAATTGTTTAGTGGTACTTTTACCTTCTGTACAGGAAAGGACAAAGATCGGTACCTGTTTCCTACCTGGATCAGGAGCATGTGTCAGGAATGTGCACGTTTATCTTTTTACTTTAATAAGCTAAGTATGGCAGGTTATTGGAAATCAAGGACTCCAGGGGCTTTTGAAGTGAAATTTTTGAGAGAGGTAGGAGAAAAACGGGGTGAGGTTTTTCTGACCATGGCCAGCAGTCTGTGAATGAGTACTAGTGGTAAGACATGGGCTCAGCACATTACTGTCTGGCTTAACATTGGCTGATACAGTCTGCCTGTGAATGCAAGCAAGTCCACAGCACTTGACAGTTGTGGCCACCACCCTCAGCTCGTTAGCCTTGAAGGATTGGAGAGTACCCCTCTTTCGGTTAAACCCTTCTCTTCCCACCTTCATCCCGCTCAGATGCCTGGGAGGCCTGACACCTACTGTTCTGTCATTTAGGTAAAGCAATAGATGTAGCCTGTCATATCAAGGACTGTCCTCTTCCTCTGGTGGCTCAGGTACCTGCTTCATAATTAGAAGTGCACTCTAAAAAAGTAGAAAAGGAGAGATATAAAAAACCTCCCAGGTCATCTGTGTGTCATTTTGAAGAATCATTTAAGAGTGCACTATGCCACATTTAAACAGTTACATGTCAAGGGTATATTTATTTATATTTTTTTTCTGGTACTGGGGATCAAACTCAGGACCTTGCGCTTGCAAGGCAGGCGCGCCACCACTGAGCTAAATATTCAGCCCCTTATTTTGGATTTTTGAGACACACGGTCTCACTATGTAGTTCAGACTGGCCTTGAACTCATGACGTACCCTAGACTGGCCTCAAACTCACAGCCACCCTCCTACCTCAGACTCCCAAGTACTGAGATTACAGGTGTGGGCCACCATGTCTAGCCCAAGGGTATATTTTTTAAAACTATCTTTTTTTTTTTTTTTTGGTACTGGGGATCGAACTCGGGTCCTTGCACTTATGCAGCAGGCAGCAAAACCACTGAGCTAAATCCCCGGCCCTATTTTTAAAACTGAAGGTAGAAACAGCTCCTTAAGATACCCCAACTTCTGTGTTCATTCACAGAGCATTTCCTGCCTGTATTGTTCTGCAGATACACACAATTCACTTGTTTTATGTATGGAAATAAAAAAGGTATTGTGAGTGTAGTACATAATGATGGATTATGACGTACTATGATTAATAAATAGTATATTGTTTTATATTAATAAGGCATGGATGCAGAGAAGCCAATCCTGTTCATATTTGAAGAAGAAAATGAGTATTGGACTGAGACCCAGGAAACATGACTTTTAGTTTCATTTACAATGTTTAAGTGGGGCCAGGGATTTAGCTCAGGGGTTCCGCCACCTGCCTTGCAAGTGGAAGGTACCGCTCCCCAGTACCAAAACAAAACAAAACAATACAATGTTTAAGTGTAGGCTGGGGCAGATGTTTAGTTTGGAAGTTGAGGCATAGGATTAGGATTGTTTTGCTTCTCTTACTCACCACTGGGCTCCTGGTTCTCATAGCCTGTGAACAGTATTTGTTTTTTGGTACTGGGGAATGAACCCAGGGGCTTCACACTGAACTACATCCCTAGCCCTTTTTAATTTTTTTATTTTAGGATAGGGTCTCCTTATCACTGAGTTGCCCAGGCTAGGCTTAAACATTGGATCCTCCTGCCTCAGCCATTCAAGAGAGTGCTGCAATTATAAGCGTGTGCCATCATGCCTGGCTCAATCTTTTTTTTTTTTTTTTTTTTTTTGAGACAAGGTCTTGCTATGTTGCTCAGACTGACCTTGAACTCATGGTGATCCTCCTACCTCAGCCTCCCTAGTGCTGGGACTACAGGCATCATCACTCCCAGTTTCTGGCTCAATCTTTTAATTCCTACAAGTTAAATAAAACAAGAGAATATGGTTTTCAAGGTAAAGAGAAAGGAGAGGGATAGCCAGTACCAAACATATTGGTATACAGCTAATCTTTACATACATATTTGAACTATATGATATTTACATTTTGCATTTAGGAGTATCTTTAGTCAGATACTAATATTTTAATTTTACCCAGAGTGCCTTGTGCTTTTTAGTAAAGCTGATCATACCCTCTTGCCTTTCACTGCTGTTTTCCTAAAACTGCATTTTTGGTCGAGAGCCAGGTTCTGTGAGGGACGGCTCTACGGAAGAGCAGAGATGAATCCTAATCAGCGCTGCTCCCCAGGAGTCTGCATTGTCTCCCAGCTTTATCTCTCTTGCACACATATTTTTTTCTTAATACCTAGGAATTGCTCAAATCTAGGGATATTAGTCTCTTCGTGGAATAATTCAAGCTGTGAAGGAAGTAGAATTGAGCATGTTTAATAACAGTACAGTGAAATGGAGCTACCATTATGTGAAGTTTGACCCAAACTTCAGATTTTCCAAACTTACATGGAATGGAGAAAACTATTAGTGACCAAAAGATGAAGCCAGGCATGGTGGCATATGCTGAAATCCTAGCACTCTGCAAGGCTGAGGCAGGAGGATTGCAAGTTGGGTCCCAGGCAATTTAGTGACTTAGTGAGACCGTGTCTCAAAATAAAAAAAAATTGAAGAAATAAAGGATTGGGGATGTAGCTTAGTGGCAGAGCACTTGCATGCATGACCTTGGGTTCAATTTCCAGCGCCCCCTGGCCCAAAGTAGCTAGTTTGTGCATGGAAAGAGATACTTCAGAGAAAAAGATTATCTCAGCACACTGGGATGCGGTGGGAGGAAGACAGTAGCCAACTGTGGGTTCTGTCTGCTCCATCTGTGAAGAAGCTGCTGTGGCCTCCAGGTCTCTCTGAAGTCGAGCACAGGCGGGCAGCAAAGTGTAACTAGAGATTCCTGCAAAAGAGGAATGTTGTTGGGCCACAAATTTAGCAAAGTACAAAATAATTGCCTTTGAAGCAGATTTTGTATTTACTAAAAATTTGTTAAGTTTCTTATTTAAACAAAAGTTGAACTTTTTTCTATATTTGACTCTTGCTCCACTCCACAAAGAATTATAGGTAATTTAAATATGTCTTAGTAAACATCCCAGGTAGTGGAAGAAAGGGGAGTGGAGTGAGAAACAGATTTGTCAAACAAATCAAGAGAGGACTCTGGGAAATTGGTTGTACTAACTGGGACGAGATCAAAGCTACATAGGGATCCTGCTCTCACGAGCCATTTTTCACCACATGCCACCCCTGTTCCTAATCTCAAGCAATGGCTTCGGGGCCCCAAGTCACCTGTTTTTGCCACATTTAATACGTCCAGTAAGAAGTGGACCAAGTCTGGTTGGTTTGCAGTGGAAAGACTCTCACTCTGTCCAATTTAGTGGTTATATCAGCAATTTGGATTTTTTCCTAGTAATTAATATTTTGTTTCATGTGTCCTTTTTTTCTGTCCCTGATATGGACATCTTTCTATATGATATTTGAGGCTTTTTTTTCACCCCATTCTGGGGATTGAACTCAGGACCTTGCGCTTGCAAGGCAGGAGGTGGCACCATTGAGCTAAATCCCCGGCCTGATATTTGAAACTTTAAAAACTCATTTAGTATTTATTTAGTGCTGGAGATCAAACCCAGGGTCTTGCACATGCTAGACTAGAGCTCTACCACTGAGATACATCCCTGCCCCTAAAACTCCTTTATTCCTTAGCCATCTTTTCATCTTTTCCATATACTTAAAATATTTCAATGCTATTTTTTTTTTCAACATTTTACAGCTGGACAACGCCTTTGGTGCTGTAGATTGTACCATTGGTTCCTTTATAAAATTTGAAAAGGTATTATGCACTGACTGGCTAATGTCTATCGAATCCTCTGATTACCAAGTCAGACTGTAGGGGTTTTTCCTTCACTCCGAATTTTCTCAGATCTTGAGCATCTTGTGGTACTTGGCTGACCCACTGTTTTATAGCTTTTCATTTGGGTATCATATGTCTATATGTTATATAAAGATTTATGTTTATACACATATATAGAGTTTTTTTTGGTTTTTGTTTTTTTGATACTGGGGATTGAACTCAGGACCTTACATTTGTGAGGCAGACAGCGGTGTCACTGAGCTAAATACCCAGCCCTATATAGTGTGTTTTTAAAATTATAAACTTTTTTTTTTTTTTGGGTACTGGAGATCGAACTCAGGACCTTGAGCTTGCGAGGCAGGCACTGGAACCACTGAGCTAACTCCCTGGCAAAATTATAAACTTTTAAAGATAGACTGCCTTGTATATCTTTTATATTTCCTTGAACTCCATTGTATTTAATAGTGTTGAGTGGCTGCTCTTTTTTAATTTTAGGTGACATAAATGCCGCAGCTCCTGTTGGACGTGAACAAGTCAGCGAAGGTATAGATGATGGTGATTTTCTATCATATGTGTCTTCATTCATAGAAAAGGAAGTTGGAAATGACCTAAAATCTTTAAAGAAGCTTGGTAAACTCATAGAACAAATGACAGAAAATAAAGTAAAATTAGAAGAGCAGGTAAGAAAACTCACTGAAATAATATCAAGAGTATACTTATTATAAATAATAGAATATAAATAATCCTTATATGTGTAGAATTTTAAAGTAGATTGTGACAAGTCTAATTATTTTATATTCTGTGATAGGATTCTTTTTTTTTTTGGTACCGGGGATCGAACTTGGGACCTTGCGCTTGCGAGGCAGGCAGCAGAACCACTGAGCTAAATCCCTGGCCCTGTGATAGGTTTTAAGAACTTACAATGTGCTTGCTTGCTTGATTTATTTTGATACTGGCAATTGAATTGAGAGCCTTCACACTGAGCTGCATGCCCACTCCTTTCTTTATTTTATTTTATTTTTTTGAGACAGGATCTTGCTAAATTGCTGAGTTGCCCATGCTGGGCAACTTGTGCTCCTCCTGCCTCAGCCTCCCAGAGTGCTGGGATTATAGGTGTGTGCCACCGTGCCTAGCACCACTTCATTCACTTTTATTTTTTATTTTTAAAGGAGGAAAGGTTTATTTGGCTTACAGTTTGTAAGAGTTTCAGTCCATGGTCAGCTGGCTCCAAGGCAGGGTGACACAGGGGCAACAGTTCATGGCAGAGGAAGGCAGCAAAGACAACAAGAGCTTCATTGACTCTTTTTTGGTTTGTTTTTGTTTTGAGACAGGGTCTCACTATGTAGTTCAGGCTGGCCTTATAGTCACTGTATGGCCCAGGGTGGCCTTGAACTTAACAGCAGTCCTCCTACCTCAGTCTCCTGCTGGGAATACAGGCATGTGCCACCATGCCTGGGTTCACTGACTTTTTTTTTTTTGGTACTGGGGATCAAACTTGGGTCCTTGCACTTGTGCAGCAGGTGGCGGAACCACTGAGCTAAATCCCCAGCTTCATTGACTTTTAAAGTAAAATATTTAATAAGTAAAGCAGGTGGTCTCTGGCTGGACACTCTGAAAGAACTGAGCCTAGAAAGATCCCAGATGCTTATTGAGGCTGGGTGGGTGGGCCTTCTTTATATGTGTATGCTCATATGCTTTACAAAAGCATTGTACATGTGGTTTGATTGATACAGGATAAATTAAAACTTTGAAGTTATTTTTTTCTTTTTCTGGTTTTTATTTTTGGTACTGGAGATTGAAATTTTTTGAAGGTTTGTTTTGTTTTGTTTTTTGAGTCAGGCTCTCACTATGTAGTTCAGGCTGAACTTGAACTCACTAAGGAGCCCAGGCTGGCCTTGAGCTCCCAGCGATCCTCCTGCCTCAGCCTCCCTAGGGGATTACAGGGGTGTACCACCATATCTGGTGGCTTTTGAAGTTTTTAATAGTTTTTATTTCTGTTAGAATGAACATGTATTCAAATGGGAATGCTTTTTTTATCAGTACATGTCTGCAGTACATAATGATCACATTCAACTGTGGGGAACTGGTACATGTACATAACACATCCTAATTCTTTTTTATCTCCCTCCCTCTCCCTCCCTCCATTACTTGGTCCTTAGAATGATGTGTTTTAGTAAAAAAGATTATGAAAATTTTATGATTGCTGCTGGTTTTTTTGTGGTTTTCTTTTTGGTGATGGTTAGGTACTTACAGTTTCATCAGAAATTCCTAAAAGAGTTCAGAGTGCCTTAAAAAATGCAGAAGAATCAAAACAATTCCTTAATCAGTTTCTGGAACAAGAAACTCATCTCTTCAGTTCCATTAGTAGCCACTTGCTGACCTCACAGCCCTGGATGGATGATCTTGGGGCCAAGATTAGCCAAATTGAAGAGATTGAACGGCATCTTGCCTACCTTAAGTGGATTTCACAAATTGAAGAACTGAGGTAAAATGGGCCTCTTTGTTCTCATAATTATTATTTTCCTTTGAGGCTGTGTTTCACAGAGTGCATGCTTGCCATTAAATAATTGAGTTAATTAAAGATTATAATAATGTAATTTTACCAGTTGTTATGAAAATAGCATTATGATAGTGATTCTTTTCCTTTATTGTGAATGAATATAAATTTTTCAAGAAGTTTAATTTGCATTTGAAAGAAAGTAATCTAGGTAAGTTAAATTTTTAAGTCTTAGAATGGTGCTAAGAACATAGTAAGGATATTATGTAGAATGCCAAAGTAATGAAACAAACCCTCCGTGTGGTAATAGGTATTCCTATCTAATTTTTAGGGAATGTCCCGAAGTGAAATGGATTGCTTTCTCTAGAATCTGAATTTTTTTTTGGTGGGAATCATCTAATAAGACTTGTACAGTATTCTTAGATGAATAACAGAGTTCTACTACCTGTCAGTAAGGGGGAAAGTTCTTTTTGAATACATATCACCGATGGTTGACTGCAAATATATGATGTTGCCTTTCTTTTATTAATTAATTAATTAATTTTTATTGGTATACTTTAGATGTACACAATGATAACATTCATCATAGGGAATTTGTACCTGTATAGGGTATATCTTGCTGCCTCTTTTCCGCATTCCCTTCCCCTCCCATCATCCCCTCTTTCCCTCATTTTTTGGTGCCAGGATTCGAACTCAGGGCCTCCAGCTTGCCAGGCAGGTGCTGTACTGCTGAGCTACATCCCAGCTCTTACCCTCCTTACTCACAAAAGCTTTGTTTGCATTTTTCCTTCTATTGTCTTATTTTTCTTGTCCCCCCTTCCTTCCTCCCCTTCCTGCTTCCTTGTCCCCCCCCCCCCCCGTTTGAACGTTTTCTCCCCATTTCCAATATCTATTATACATTTCGGTCCTTACTTACATGTTGTTTCTCACACCAGAGAAACAATGCAGTATTCACACATTAGTGCCCGATTTACTTCACTTAAGAGTACAGTCTCAAGGTGCACCCATTTACCTAGAAACATCTCAAGTTTATTCTTCTTTATGGTAGAGTAGTACTTCATTGTATAAAAACATCATCTTTATCCAGTCTCCAGTGGATGGGCACTTGGGCTGCTTCCAGGCTTTAGCTATTACAAGCTGTGCCACTATAAACTTGGGTGTGCATATATCACTGTGGTAGGATGCTTTTAATTCTTTCAGGAAGATACCAAGAAGAAGAATAGCTGAGTAAATGGAACCTCTAGTTTTCATTTTTTGAGGAATCGCCACACTGATTTCCACAGTGGTTGCACCAGTCTGCACTCCCACCAGCAGTGGAGCAGGGTTCCTTTCTCCCCACAGACCCACCAGCATTATTGGTTGATGTTATTGGTTGATTTCATGATAGCAGCCATTCTTTCTAGGGTGAGGTGGAATCTCAGAGTTGTTTTCATCTGCATCTCTGGGGCCAGGGATTTAGCTCAGTGGTGCTGCCGCCTGCCTCACGAGCACAAGGACCAGAGTTCCATCCCCAGTACCAAAAATAAATTTGCATCTCTCAAATGACCAGTGATGTTGAATATTTTTTCATATATTTTTTGCTATTTCTACTTCTTCATCTGAGAAGTGTCTGTTCATTTCAGATGCCCATGGGTCTTTAAATTTGAGGGGTCTGATTTTTTTTGAGTTCTTTATATATTCTAGCTAGTAGTCTTTTATTTGAGAAATAGCTGGCAAAAAAAATTTCCCCACACTGTGGGTGGTCTCTTCTCTGTTGGTAGCTTTTTAATATGATGAGGTCCCAGTTGTTGATTCTTTGTATTATTTCCCGTGTGGCCTGGGTTTTGTTCATGAAGTCTTTGCCTACTCCTGTGTCCTCAAGCGCTGTACCTATTCTCTTTTCCAGCAGATTTAGTGTTTCTCTTTTAATATTTAGATCTTTGATCCATTTCGATTTTAGTTTAGTGCATGGTGAGAGACATGAGTCTGGTTTCAATCTTTGGCATGTGGAAAGCCAGTTTTTCCTGCAACATTTATTAAAGAGGCTCTTTCTTCCAGTGAGGGTGTCTGGCTCCTTTGACAAAGATAAGGTGGCTAAGTTGTTTCTGCATCTTCTAATCTGTTCCACTGATCCTCAGGTCTGTTTTTTGCCAGTACCATGCTGTTTTTGTTGGAGTAGCTTTGTAGTATAGTTTCAGGTCAGGGATTGTGATGCCCCTCCGTTGCCTGTGTTGCCCAGAATTACCTTTGCTATTCTAGGTCTCTTCTGATTCCAAATGAATTTTAGGATTGTTTTCTGTAATTCTGTGCAATATGCTATTGGTATTTTGAACAGGATTGCATTACATCTGTACAACAATTTTGGAAATGTGGCCATTTTCTTTTTGGTACTGGGGATTGAACTCAGGACCTTGCACTTGCAAGGCAGGTGGCAGAACCACTGAGCTAAACTCCCGGCATGGCCATCTTCAATATATTGGTACTTCATACCCAAGAACAAGGGATATCTTTCCATTTTCTGATATCCTCTTTGATCTCCTCTTTCAGAGTACTGTAGTTTTCAATGTAAAAGTCTTTTACTTCCTTCATTAGATTGATTCCTAGGCATTTCATTTTTTTTTTTTTTTGATGCTATTATGAAAGGTGTTGTTTCCCTAATTTGTTTTGTTTTTGTTTTTTTGGTACCCGGGATCGAACTCAGGTTGTTGTGCTTGCGCAGCAGGCGGCGAAACCACTGAGCTAAATCCCCAGCCCTATTTCCCTAATTTATCTCTCAGTGAGTTTGTTATTTGTGCATGGGAATGCTATTGATTTTTGAGTGTTCACTTTGTATCCAACTATGCTACTGAATTTGGTTATTAAATCTAGAAGTCTTTTGGTGGAGTTTTTGGGATCTTCTACATAAAGTATCATGTCATCCACAAATAATGATAATTTAACTTCTTTCTTTCCTGTCCTTATTCCTTTTATTTCTTTCTTCTATCTAATTGCTCTGGCTAATGTTTCTAGAACTGTTTTGAATAAGAATGGCAATAGTGGACATCTTTGTCTTGTTCCTCATTTTAGAGTGAAGGATTTCAGTTTTTGTCTGTTTAGTATGATGTTGGCTGTTGGTTTGTCATAAATGGCTTTTGGCAGATTGAGGTAAAGATCATCTATTTCAATTTTCTGTAGGGTTTTTGTCTTGTCAAATGCTTTTTCTGTATCTGTTGAGATGATCATGTGGTTTTTGTCCTTAGCTCTGTTAATATGCTGTATTACATTTCTTGATTTGCATATGTTGAACCAACCCTGCTTGCCTGGGATGAATCCTACTTGCTCATGGTGTATAATCTTGATGATTTGTTGCATTCTGTTTGCCAGTATCTTATTGAGGATTTTTGCCTTTATGTTCATTAGGGAGATTGGCCCGTAGCTGTCCTTTTTTGGTTGGATTCTTCTCAAGTTTTGGTATCAGGCTTTTCAAATAAGCCAAAGTAACATTTCCACCTAATGAGCAAATAATGAATTATTTAATGATAGTATTCCTTGGGCCTCCAAATGGTACATTTTACTTTTAGCTATTTTTGCTGCAAAGCTGTCTGGAACCATGAATGAGGGAGAATCATCCAAGAGATTTAGTATCTTGTTTAAAATGTAATGTAGTTAATATTAATGATATGGATATGCTGTGTATCCCTTTGACCTGTACCTGTTTCCTAATATGGTCTAGCATTTTATATATCTGTATAGTATGAAAATTTGTTTTGCTTATATGAAGAGTTTTACAGTTGAAGCAAGAATCGTTTAGATTGTACTGTTACTAATGATTATAGAAACTGACTTAAGCTTTTTAGAGCTTCACATTCTTGTTTAAATTATTTGCAGTGAAGGAATTTTAAACCTCACTCTATTTTACTCCATTTCTCCTTGTCCATTTGAATGAAAATACCAATAAGGAGTAATAGTAGTAATTTTATTAAGTAACATAAGTTGTTTAAAGGCCTCCCTCTCATAGTATTCAAAGTAATAGATGAACTAAAATAGGACTATGGTTATGGATTACCTTTTCTGATACCTGAATTGTTTAAAAGAAAAATATGCCCAGGGGATCATATTAGAAATAATAATCAGATTTATAATGAAGAATCAGTTATTTCTCTCTTTAATAATGTGTTCTTTCCCTTAGGTCTTTTATGATAACATAGCTTTCTTTTGAGCTTCTGGGATTTTCTTCATCTCCAAATGTCCTTTTAATGGCCAGTTTTTTATTCTCTAGTGTTCTCCCTATCTGTCCGTCTCTTTTCTCTCTCTCTCTGTCGTTTCTTCTTGCTAGAATTAGCATCTTTGGTTTTTTTTTGGGAGGGGTGGTTTTGGTACTGGGGATCGATCTCAGGTCCTGCTTGCGCAGCAGGCGGCAAAACCACTGAGCTAAATCCCCGGCCCAAGAGTTAGCATCTTTGTATTCATTCCATTTTGTGCATACTACAGTACAGCAGTACCACTGAGTGAACACTAGTACTCTGGCTTTTTCTATGGTCGAAATGTCCTTCCTGCATCAGTGATGTGCAGAGACCTATGTCATCCTAGAAAGCCATATCCTATATTCTGTGGTTACCGGTACATTTACATTTTTTGGTAACATTTGGAGATTGTTTGAGCATGGTAGTTTTTATTTTAATGTAATACAACACTTAGTTAAAATATATTTCTTTGAAATGGGAAATCAAGTTCTGCTGGGAAAAGTAGGTAAAAATTGAGGATGCATATACCTGACCATACCAGATGCTACCCACGTTATTCCCTTGGATTAAAACTTCTGTAAAAGCAATGAGTGGTACCTGAGGAAATGTGACAAGGGACAAAAGAGCTCTGCTGGGATCAGTTGGTGGAGGAAGGTGTCCTGAACAGGGGCTTCTGCTAGTAGAAGGATGCTAAGAGTTAGAAGACTCCAGGCTCCCAGAGAGACTTGGGTGCCAGGTAAAATGTAGCCACCTCAGGATTGTGCCTCATTCTTCCTTGGATATAACTCCATGACTGAGCTATGCCCCAGTCCTTTTTAAAAATTTGACAGGGTCTCACTAAGTTGTCCAGGCTGTCCAGCTCCTAATCTTCCTGCCTCAGATTCCCGAATAGCTGGAATTACAGGCATACACCACTACTCCTAGCTTGGCTATAACTTAACGTAAAACATGAGGAGGTCAGGCATGATGGTGCACACCTGTAATCCTAGCACCATGGGAATCTAAGGATCGTAGTATTCTGAGAAACTGTCCTTAATGTTGCTTCACTTTGTTTTGCAGTGATAATATTCAGCAATATCTGATGACCAGCAATGTGCCGGAGGCAGCCTCCACCCTGGTGGCCATGACACAGCTTGATACCAAGCTTCGGGAATCATCCTGTGTACATCTTCTTGGCTTCATGAGAGCCACAGTTAAGTTTTGGCACAAGATTCTCAAGGACAAGCTTACAAGGTAGGGGACTTAGCCACGTTTCATGACATTTGCTTTCAGATGGGTGTTTGGAAATCGTTGGCGACACTGCGCTAACGTGCGCATTTCTTTTCTGTTCCAGTGATTTTGAGGAGATTTTAACCCAGCTCCACTGGCCATTCATCGCGCCTCCGCAGTCTCAGGCTGTGGGTGTGAGCCGGCCCCCCAGCAGCCATGAGCTCTATGGCAACCTGGAGATGCTGTTTTGTCAGCTGCTGAAACTACAAACCTCGTATCTTTGTTGGAATGGAAAACGAAAATTTCTTTCTAGGGCGGATTTGTAGTTAGAGAGTCAAACTTTTTCAAAGTGGCCAGGAAGTCAAATGGAAGTCCTGAGTTAGACTTGATGTGTGAATGGCCATCAAGTGGTCACCTGTTCTCTCACAAAGTGAATTGTGCAGGGGCAGGAGGGCCACTAGGGAGTTCTGAGATGTGCTGGGCGTGGAGGTGCTCACCTGTCATCCCAGCACTCGGGAAGCTGAGTCAGGAAGATCACCGTGAGTTTGAGGCCAGCTTGGCGTACATAGTAAGTTCAAGCATGAACTGTGTAGGGAGACCCTGTCTCAGAAACCCCAGAAAGAAAAGGAAAGAAGGGCCGGGGATTTAGCTCAGTGATTTCGCCGCCTGCTGCGCAAGCACAAGGACCCGGGTTCGATCCCTGGTACCAAAAAAAAAAGAAAAGGAAAGAAAAGAATTCTGAGACATGCACTGACCCAAGTTCACATCATATATAGGTCTTTTGGGACAATGGAACAAATGAGCAGGTCAGAAAAACGTTAGCAAAGCATTTATTTAATCAAATGGTAATGTGAATTTATTTTTTTACTACTACTCTATTTTAGGAAAGATTTACAGATGAATTCTAATAACATTTTTCTTCACTTACTGAATTTGTATTTAGTGTAGATTACATACTTATAATTTTTTTTTTTTTGGTACTGGGGATTGAACTCAGGTCCTTGTGCTTTCAAGGCAGGTGGCGGAACCACTGAGCTAAATCCCCGGCCCTATGTTATAATTTTGTACTGATACATTTGTTGGGAAAATTTATTGCGTGTGTACATACATACATCATCTACACATACAATGCTTTAGATTTGTCTTCCTTGACTTAACTATGTCAGAGATGAATTACTTACCGAGCCAGAACAACTCCCAGAGAAATACTGTCTCCCTGTGTCCCCTCCCATCATCCTGCCCATCCAGATCATGCTGACTCCCCTTCAGAAGAGGTTCCGCTACCACTTCCGTGGCAACAGGCAGACTAATGTCATAAGCAAGGTGTGCTTTGGCAGCTCTTGTCTTTGTCTTTGCTTTTGCTTTCTTTCTTCTTTATTATTCTGAGGCAGGGTCTCCGTGTAGCTCAGTGGTAGAATGGTCCTAGGTTGGATCCTCAGTACCACAAAAACTGCCTCTGTTCACATTTCTGTTTTTCCTACTTAAAGGCCTAAATTCCTGTTTTGTAACTACCCTTTACAAATGTAACTGGGGACTTGTGTGGAGGTAGTGTTGGAACTGGTTTTCTCTTTGGCATATCATCTGACCAGTTTCTCAGGTTTGCCTAGAGTATGCTGTAGCATTAGCTGTGACAGGTTTCACAACTATATGCATGTGTGTTTCACTGTACAAATTGGTCCTGCAGACTTACAAGTATACTGAATAGACAAGCGAACGCCAGGAGATGGTAGAGCATTGGTTTCTTTGTTTTTTTTCTCTTTTTTGGCTGTACTGGAGATTGAATCAGGGCTTCACACATGCTAGGCAAGTGGTCTGCCACTGAGCTATATACCCAGTCCTTTTCCACTTTTTAAAAATTTAGAAATTTACTAAGTTTCCCAGGCTAGCACTGAACTTGTCATCCTCCTGCCTCAGCGTGTCAAGTAGTTGGGATTATAGGCATGCACTACTGTGTCCAGTGAACCACAGCTTTTGCATAGAGGTGCTAATGTTGAAATGATTTATAGCTATATAAGAGAGACCATAGAATAAATGATGTGAATAGTTTTGAAGAAGTTACTACCAACCTTTTTTTTGGTACCAGGGATCGGACTCAGGACCTTGCTACCAACCTTCTAATTGAGGGAGCATACTGTGCATATTGTTGAGATTTTTCTTTAATCCTACCTGAAAAACAGATCAAATTATAATGTTAGAAATTACTAAAAATCGAGTACCATCTTCTTTACTCTCAAGTTTTGCTATAGCTAATACAATGCATGTAGCAGGGGCTCAGTAGATATTTTAAATACATTCTCATGTGCCAGATCACAATGGGCACCATATGTGCCATGTAACTGAACTTAAAGGATTCCTAGAGTTGTAAAGAAGTCACGGGAAGGCCGGGGATTTAGCTCAGTTGTTCCGGCGCCTGCCTTGTAAGTGCAAGGTCCTGAGTTCAATCCCCGGTACCAAAAAACAAGAAGTCATGGGAGAGGCCCTCAAGCTTGCACAGGGAGGAGCGAGTGGTGGTGGGTTTCTTTGCACACTTCATGGGGCTCCTTTTTTGGATGGAGTGTTGGTGGAAGGAAGAGCAGAAGCACTTAGGACTAAGTAGTAAATGAGACAAAACAATAAACCTGAAGTCATAGAGAAGCAGAAATAATTTGATGTAAGAAAATGACGAGTCATGTGGCTGCTTTTTGCAGTGTGGTCCCCACAGACTCGCGTTCCCACATTGAGCTCAAAGAGCGCAGCCCTTAAGCTGTGCTGACTCATTTAGTATAGTTCCAACATCTCACACACACAGGGATTTACTGCTCAGTGTTTCTGAACCCTTATCCATCAAAACTTGGAATGCTTGCAGAATCATCTCCAGGGGCAATTTAAAACATGCCAGGCCTGCGTTTCCCTTTCTATAAGTATATTCCAAAGACAAGCAAATGCCAAAAGACAGTAGAGCATTCGCTTTTTTTTTCTTTTTCTGTTTAAAGGCATAGTTGTTTTTGTTGTTGTTTGTTTGTTTTCTGTAATACAGACCAGCCAATTTTTTTCTTAATTTGCCTTTTGAAAGGAAAAAAGCAGGGGCTGGGGATGTAGCTCAGTGGTGCCATGCCTGCCTGGCAAGGGCAAGATCCTGAGTTTGATTCCTGGTACAGAAAAAAGAAAAAGAAAAAAAAAAGCAAAAGAAAATAATATTTTAAAATTATTTTGCAATACTATTTCAAAAGACAGTTTAAATGCCATTGGTTCTTGTAATACAGTACTCATCATTTTACCTATTACTAATGTGCTAAGTTTTAAATATACATGCCTTTTTTCGCTTTGTTTCATGGTACTGGAGATTAAACCCAGTCCTCGTGCATGCTAATCAAACTGTCTACTACTGAGCTATACCCTCAGCCCCAAAGTGGTATTTTAAATTCATGAGTTTATTGACTTAGCCACATTATTGGTGTTTGTTGTGAGAGTATTGGGAAGCATCTGATTATCGAGCCTTTCATGAGCTTAAAGTTCAGAATAGAAATTGTGCTCTTACGTATAAGAAATTTTCAACTAACCTTTGTTAAGTATTGTGTGTTCATAATTAGAGACATTTAATTATAATTTTCTACTTGGACTAACTAAAGAATTTAAACCATTTTACCTTGTTCCTCAGCCTGAATGGTACCTGGCTCAGGTACTTATGTGGATTGGAAACCACACTCAGTTTCTAGATGAGAAGATTCAGCCAATATTAGACAAAGCAGGCTCTACAGTAAATGCACGGGTAAGGGACATGGTCCTGAGTGTTTCAGACTCCCCCTGTGAGATACCTGAACAATACCTTATTGCTTATATACCTCATGTTTATGCATTCCTTTAGCTTGAATTTTCTCGGGGCCTTATGATGCTGGTTCTTGAGAAGTTGGCTTCAGATATCCCCTGTCTGCTGTACGATGACAATCTCTTCTGTCACCTGGTGGACGAAGTGCTCCTGTTTGACAGGGAGCTCCACAGTGCTCACAGCTACCCTGGCACTTTCGCCAACTGTATGCACATCCTGTCTGAGGAGACCTGTTTTCAGCGATGGCTAACTGTGGAGAGAAAATGTAAGTGCTCAGTGGCCACAGGGTAGGTAGAGATATCTCTTTGCGTGTGGAAGTTGTTGGTGTTTTTCACCTCCACTTCTGGGTAGGAACTAGCCATCTAGATTTTTCTTGATTTGAGTTTACAGAGTTGCCTTCAGAGAAAATCTTCTTTTCTTTTCTTTCCATGAAACTTCAATTTTTCCTGGCATTATATTCCACAGATTTCTACAGTGGACTATCTGAGCCAGTAGACTGTACAGCTATTTTATAGATTTTACCATGTAGTTTTTTTGCTCTTGGTAGAATCTTTTTGGATGTAGCTTGTCTACTCAGCATAACTATTTTGAAGATTTTTATCCTAAAATGAAGCATTTTAAATATAGCACAACTACAGGGAGATGGTTGTTTTTATAGAAAAAATTCATTATTTCTAGCTGGGCATGGTGGCGTCTGCCTATAATCCCAGCACTCGGGAGGCTGAGTCAGAAGAATCATTTTGAGTTCAAGGGCCAGCCTGAGCAACATAGCGAGACCCTGTCTCAAAACCTACCACCCCCAAAAATAAATAAAATGAAATTTTATTTTGTTTTGTTTTGGTACTGGGGATCGAACCTTGCACTTGTGAGGCAGACATCGGAACCACTGAGCTAAATCCCTGGCTGAAATTTTAAATATTAAAAAATAAAAGAAAGAAAAAAAAAATCATTGTTCCTAAAAAACAGTGAGTTGAGAATTAGGAATGACAACAGCTACTTAATTGACATCCTTTTTTCTTCATATCAGTTGCTCTTCAAAAAATGGACTCGATGCTTTCATCAGAGGCGGCCTGGGTATCCCAATATAAGGATATCTCTGATGTGGATGAAATGAAAGTTCCAGACTGTGCAGAGACTTTTATGACTCTACTCTTGGTTATAACTGGTAATTATCAGTCTTTAAGGATATGCCTTTGACTTGGCATGGTGGCGCATGCCCATAATGCCAGCACTTGGTAGGCTGAGGCTGTGTATTTGAGGCCAGCCTGGGCTACATAGTGAGTTCTGAACTACATAGTGGGACCCTGTCTCAAAAAACAAAAAACAAACAGAACCGATATGCCTCTGAGCCGGTGTGGTGGCTCAAAGTGAACCCAGCTACTCTGGAGGTCAGGTGGAGGGACTGTGCCTGGAGACCAGCCTGGGGAATACGGTGAGGCCTGTCTCAGAAAGCAAAGATAGGGCTTTGTTTTAAAATACTGACTCTTCACGCGGTACTTTTCCTAGTAGTTCACAAAAGGTAGTATGCTGTGGTTATTATCATATCTTAAATTCAGCTTCTATTTTAGCAGGAGTCTAGCACACGATTTATTTGAATTTATTTATTCATTCATTTATTTATTTATTTTTGGGTACCGGGGATCAAACTCAGGACCTTGTGCTTGCCAGGCAGGCACAGTGCCACTGAGCTAAATCCCTGGCCCTGGATTTTTAGTAGTTTAAGTTAGTACTTAAAACATTGGAATAAATGAGGGAAAAATTTCTGAATGGTTACATAAAAATAAATGATAATTTAAATTATTATCTGAACTCTCTTGCCACTCAAGTTTTTTTTTTTTTGATTAATTTATTTGTTTGTATTTTTCTCTTTTGTTTATTGTCCTTTTGTTTTGTTTTGTTTTGGTACTGGGGATCAAACTCAGGACCTTGCGCTTGTGAGCCAGGCGGTGGCACCACTGAGCTAAATCCCTGGCCCTTTTTTTGTTTTTGTTTTTGGTACCCGGGATCGAACTTGGGACCTTGTGCTTTCGAGGCAGGCGGCAGAACCACTGAGCTAAATCCCTGGCTCCATGTTTTGTTTTTTTGCCATTCAGCTTTACAAGGTTCTTCAGTAAATGATGACTGACCAACATTTTATTTTATTTTATTTATTTATTTATTTATTTATGGTACGGAGGATTGAACTCAGGACCTTGCACTTGCCAGGCAGATGTGGCACCACTGAGCTACATCCCCAGGCCCTACATTATTTATTTCTTCAGAGACAGGGCACTGCTCTGTTGCCCAGGCTAGTGCTGAACTCCGGGACTGAGGCAATCCTCCTGTCTCAACCTCCTGAGTAGCTGGGAGTACAGACATGAGCCACCACTGCTGTCTCAAATTTAAATTTTAAATATTTTCTTGATCTTGATTTCAAGGATTGCAGAAGAGAGAAAAACAGTAAAGTGATTTAAAGGATTGTGGTAGGAACAGGAATTCTTACCATGCAAAGTTTTTCCGGGTGCAGGGGCCGGTGCCTCTGGGCCTGTTGATGTGCAGCCAGTGGCCCCACAGGTGTGGGTCCTCTGCTGCCATGGCCTCACTGCCACCTCCTCGGCCCTCTTCATCCCCATCCTCTGCCAGTCTGCTTCCTGGGATACACAGTAACTAGAAGTGTCATTCTGGCCCAATCTGTGAATAATTTCATATTTTTAACTGTAAGAAAATTGAAAAACACTAAAAGTTTTAAACTGGTGTCTTTTAAAAACTTTTTTAACATGCAGTTCTCTTTATTTCTGATCATTTCTTTATATTGATCCATGCAGTGTAAGAACTTTTTATTACAAAAATTTCCAAACCTTAAGTAGGATAATATAGCAGACTCTCAGTTACCCATTACCAAAGTTTCAAACAATTATCTGTTCTCTGTTGCATATTTTTTCCCCTCTGGATTTTTTTTGGGGGGAGTGCTATTGGGATTAAACACAAGGCCTTTGGACTGAGTTACATTCCTAGCTCTTTTGCTTATTTTTTATTTTGAGATAGAGTCTTGCTAAGTCACTACTTTGTCCTTCTGGGCTCAAAACTGCATTCCTCCTGCCTCAGCCTCCCAGAATGCTAGGATTACAGGTATAAGCCACCATGCCTCCCCTGGAGTATTTAAAAATATTTCAGATATCTTATCATGTTACCTGTTGATCCTTAAATATGTATTTTATTTAATCTGTGCAAGTTTCCTTTATTTAAAAATGCACTTACTTGTTAAAGGAACAGTCATTTTTTAATATAATGTCTTCATGCCTTTTTAATCAAAAAATTGAGGTAAAATTTACATATAGTAAAATACACAGGTCTTAAGTGGACTGTTCGAAGAGTCTTGACAAACTTGTGAAATTTGTATCCTTAGAGCTTAGAAATACTCAAACGATCAGTTGTTTTTTTTTTTTGGTACCAGGGATCGAACTCTGGTCCTTGCCTTTGCACAGCAGGTGGCAAAACCACTGAGCTAAATCCCCGGCCCGATCAGTTGATTTTTTGACAAAGGCAGGAAAACAGATTATTTGCGGAAACCTGTAGCTCTGTCACTGACACTACCACAAAACCTCGTGTCTCCTTTGCTTTCTGCACAGACAGGTATAAAAACCTCCCCGCAGCCTCCCGGAAGCTGCAGTTCCTGGAGTTACAGAAGGACCTGGTGGATGATTTCAGGATACGGTTGACACAGGTGATGAAGGAGGAGACGCGGGCCCCGCTGGGGTTTCGGTACTGCGCGATCCTCAACGCTGTGAACTACGTCTCGGTGGTGCTCGCAGACTGGGCTGACAACGTTGTGAGTCTTGTGCTTGTACAGTAAGGAGTGTGGTAGGAATTTGGAGCGTCCATACCTTTCGAAGTGTTTACTCTATGGCAAACAAAAACAATGCATGTTAGACAGAATCACCATGATGCCAAACGTGATACTTTCTTCTCAGGCAAAAATCAGTTAAGTAATACTGATATTTGTTTATTTATCTATCTGGTGGTACTCGGGCTTTAACTCAAGGCCTTTGCTCTGAGCTACACCCCAGCATTTATAAAACTTTTAAATTTTGAGACAGGATTTCACTAAGTCGCTATTGCCCAGGCTGGGCCAGAACTTCTGACCCTCCTGCCTCAGCCTCCTAGAGTGCTGGGATTATGCCCATCTTAATCCTGATGTCTTAATGAATTTAATCATTGGACAGGCAGGGATAGAAATAGCTCAGTAGTAGAGCACTTGCCTCGCATGCTCGAGACCCTAGGTTTGATCCCCAGCTCCTCCCTCAAGGCAAAACAAAAACCTTCGACCTTTAGTTAGAAAATAAAAGAACACAAGGACCCAAGTTCCATCCCTGGTACCAAAAAAAAGAAAAGAAAAGAATAACATTTGATAAGTGTTTTTTTTGAGACCGGATCTCACTATGTAGTCCGGGCTGGCCTTGAACTCATTATATAGCTAGGCTGATCTTGGACTTGCAGCCATCCCCTTGCCTCAGCCTGCCAAGTGCTGTGATTACAGGTGTACATCACCATGCCCAGCCCTAACATTTGATGACTATTGTCTTCAAAATAGGACCAGTCATTGGCCAAGCCTGGTGGCTTATATCTGTAATCCCCACTATTCAGGAGGCTGCAAGAGGAGAATTGGAGACCCTGCCTCAAAATTTAATTAGGAACAAAAAATGCTAGAGATGTAGCTCAGTGCTCCCTGGGTTCAACTCCCAGTATCACTAATAAGTGAATTAATTTTAAACAGTTTAGGAGCCAGGCATGGTGACAATGCCTTTGGAGGCTGAGGCAGGAGGATTGCTGTGAGTTTGAGGCCAGCCTGGGCTACATAGTGAGTTCAAGGCCAGCCTGAACTACATAGCGAGACCCTGTCTCAAGGCCTCCCGCCAAAAAAAATTATTTAATAGCTGGCTCTGTGGCTCTGTTGTGCAGTGCTCGCCTTGCAGCACCAGGCCCCAGGCTTCAGCCCCAGCACCTTCCACACTCAGGAAGGTAATGCTCCTCGTGGCTGTCAACCAGCTTCTTATCCTAGGCACTTTGCACCGAGCTCCATCCCCAGCCCTTTTTAGTCTTCGAGACAGGGTTTTGCTCCGTTGCCCAGGTAGGACCTGAACTTGTTATTCTTCTGCCTCAGTTTCCCTGAGTGCTGGCATTACAGCATGATCTACTGCACCTGGATAATCAGTGTTTTTCTTTTCTTTTCTTTTTTTTTTTTGGTACTGGGGATTGAACTTGGGTCCTTGCACTTGCAAAGCAGGCAGCAGAACCACTGAGGTAAATCCCCAGCCCTAATTAGTGTTTTTCTATAAAAATGTTAACTGAAATACATGCGTGTTGTCATTCTGCTGAGCAAGGAAAATAATTATTTCATAAAATTAATATAATAGAATAATGATCAGTGTGTTTATTAAGTCAGCTAATCAGCATACATTGATTCATTTTGTACTTCTATGTGAAGTGTTTCTAATTTCAGTAAGTACTTTATTCTTTCAGCCCCCACACTGCTAAGCTTTTTCAATAGTATGAATCAAAGTCATTCTTGATTCTTATGCCAGAGGATCTAATAAGAAACTCATTCAGGGACAGACTTTTAGCTTGATTGAAATTATTTGTGGAACATCACTAACTACTTTACTTGGTGCCATAGTCTATTGAATTAGGCATTATCCCTGCCCTTAGAAAACTTAAAATCTGATGTTGAACTATCTGGGTCCTTTGTCAACAGAGAAAACTAACCAAATTTCAGAGTTGACTCTTCAAATTGGGAATGAATTCTGTGTTCTAGAATGGTTCTATCCATTCTGCTGATTCTGTCTTAACATCAAAAGTCCTTTAATTATTTTCACAGTTCTTCAACTTGTGAATGCTTTAAATGAAAATCATTGAAGTTGCTGGGCGTGGTAATGCACACATTTAATCCAGCACTTGGGAGGCTGAGGCAGGTGGATGGCAGGTTTGAGGCCAGCCTGGAGTACATACAATGAGTTCAAGGCCAGCTTGGATTATAGAGCGAGACCCTGTCTTAAAAAAACAAAAAGCTGGGTATAGTGATGGATGCCTTTAATCCCAACAAGACCCTGTCTCAAAATAGAAAATAAAAAGGGCTAGGGATGTAGCTTGGTTTGAAGACCCTGGGTTCAATTCCCAGTACTGCAAAAATAAATAAATAAAAAGTTTAAAAGCTCTTATATCACATAATTAGGAAAAAAAAAAACAGGCAGAGTTCACTTTTTATTTCAGATTCTCTGCTAACTGTTGTCAGATTATATCAAACCTGAAATATCCACCCTCATTCAGAATTAGGGATTTTTCAGGTGTAGGTGACAGAAACCTCATTCTGGTGGGGTGGGTAATGGACTAGATCAGGCACAGCTGTGCTGACGTTCACTTCTGGTTTCATTGCAGGCAGGCTGTGGACACATGGCCCTCAGCGTCTCTAGGCCCATGAGATCTGTCCATGATCTTACAAGGACAGTCCCTCTTCCTCCATGTAGGATGGCTATGTAATGGAATATTTTTTGACATTACAAAGAAATGAAACACATTAACCCATGTCACAACATGGATGGACCCTGAAACATTATGCTGCTTGAAGGAAGCCAGTACCTGATTCCATTCACACAAAATACCCAGGAAGGCAAATCCAGAGACAGAAGATAGATTAGTGGTTGCACAGAGGGGTGAGGACTAAGCTTGCGGGATTTTTGGAGGCATGAGGGTGGTGGTGGTAATGAAAACACTCCAGAATTGTGGTGATGGATTTGCTGAAACCATTGAGCTGGACACCCACAGCTAGTGAGCTGATGGCAGTTCACGGAGTTACAGGAGTATGTTAGTAACCGCATTAACATATTTTTGTTTCAGTTTTTCCTGCAGCTTCAGCAGGCAGCGTTGGAGGTGCTGGTGGAGAGCAATGCGCTCAGCAAGCTGCAGCTCGGGCAGCTGGCCTCCATGGAAAGCTCTGTCTTCGATGACATGGTCAATCTCTTAGAGCGCTTGAAGCATGACATGCTGGCCCGTCAAGTAGACCATGCTTTTAGAGAAGTTAAAGATGCTGCAAAGCTGTATAAGAAAGAAAGGTATCTCTCCATCTAAGCCAGTGCTTGATGCCAGTGTAGTCCAGGTTGAAAGGTGGTCCATGCAGTCAGTTTTCCAAGTTGTCTAGACAGAACGGGGCTTGGCTTTTGTACTCCAATTTTTTTTTTTGTCTCCAGAACCGGAGATTAAACCCAGGGCCTCACACACACTAGGCAAGTGCTCTACCACTGAGCTATATCCCCAGGCCTTTCTTTTTAAATTTTATTATTATTAATTTATGTACTTATTTGAGACAGGGTCTCACTCTATAGTTCAGGCTGGTCTTGAACTCATTGTGTACCCCAGGGTGGCCTCAAATTCCTAGCAATCCTCCTGCCTCAGCCTCCCGAGTGTTGGGATTGCAGGCATACGCCACCACACTGGACATTCTTAATCAGAGTAAACTGACAATCTGGCCCTCAGCTAATTGTAAATATAGAGCACTAGCATTTGACCTGGGACTGCAAGGCCCAGCCTGTCACTCATTTTACAAAGTAAAGTGCTCCTGTGGTACCCTGTGCATGTTTGTGACATGCAGCTTCCTGCACTACCATAATTCCCCGAGGATGTGTTACTCCCACCAGAAGGTGTGCTCCCTGCCAGAAGCAGTGTCTGCCTAGTATGGTCCCTGCCATACAGAGTGCTATACTCAGTGTCAGTACATCATACATAAAACATGGGGATTTTTTTCCTATGGTGCTGGGGATTGAACCCAGAACCTTGCACATGCTAGATAAGTGAGATACCACTGAGCTACCCACCAGCTCTTTCTATCTTTGAGATAAGGTCTAAGTTTCCCAGGCTGGGCTTGAACTTGCAATCCTCTTGCTTCAGCCCATATTTAAAATACTTTAAAAAAAACTTTTTGGAGACAGGGTCTCTGTGTGGTCCAAACTGGCCTTGAACTCACTAAGTAGCCCCGGTTGGCCTTGCACTCACAGTGATCCTCCTGCCTCAGCCTCCCGAGTGCTGGGATTACAGATGTGCAACAAAAATGATTTGTTAAGGGCCGGGCATTTAGCTCAGTGGTGCCACCGCCTGCCTCCAAGCGCAGGGTCCCGAGTCCCATCCCTGGTACCAAAAAAAAAAAAAAAAATTTGTTAAAACTTTAGAAATAGCAGGTGATGAAAACTTTTATGGTAGCAATGGATTTTTTTTTTCTAGATGGCTGTCCTTGCCATCCCAGGCGGAACAGGCGGCGATGTCGCTGTCCAGCTCGGCGTGCCCATTCCTGGTAACGTTACGGGACCGTCTGCTGCAACTGGGGCAGCAGCTGTGCTTCTCCTTATTTAAGATGTTCTGGCAGACGCTGGCGGAGAGGCTGGATGTGTACATATATCAGGAAGTGAGCAAGGCGGGGCGGCTCTGGGGTCGGGGAGAGTAAAGCCACTGTCACATGCACTGCTCTCGGTTTCAGGTCATTCTTGCTAATCACTTCAATGAAGGTGGAGCGGCCCAGTTGCAGTTTGATATGACTCGGAATCTTTTCCCCTTGTTTTCTCGTTATTGCAAGAGGCCAGAAAATTATTTTAAACAGTAAGCTTAATATTTCACAATTAATATTGATGTGTCAGAGTGTAAGAGGAGATTGACTCCTCGAATAGCCTCAGAGTTGGATGTTTGGGGGGAAGAAGATTAAATAAAATCTTAAAATAGTTATTGTGTATCTACTGCATGTTCAGAGAACAATAGGGAAACCAAACTGATATGTAAGGCGTGACCATGACCTCAAAGTTGAAGGAGCTGGGTATACATTATTTATGGGCTTTGTTTTCTAGCATTTGGTTTTATGCTCCTTTTTGCTTACTATCCAGAAAAAGAAAATGAAAGCAAGTGCAGTCTGCCACATTCATTAAGTACAAGAAATTACAGATACATTTAGTACCTAATAACTGGCTAAACCTGAAGAGAGTTTGTTTTCTTACACATTTGGTGTTCACTTTGGTTCTAAGTATAATTTTACATGTATGTAAGAATAACTGTTAGAAGTATTTTCAGAATTTGATTTAAAATTTACATTAGTTTGTGAGATTATGAAACATTCTTTTAAAATTTATTAAATGCTTACATTTGCTTATTTCAGAAAGATATGATTTGTTTTTAAGTTTACCTTAGCATTCTGCCTTCCTGCTGCTTTAATTTTATCCTTTTTCTTTTCCCGTATGCTAATCTACCTAAACTCATAGCTACACTTAATGGACTGTATCAAGTATTGTATTTATAGAAATAATGGGCACATATTGAAAGCAGTGATTCTATTATGATATTGTAACCCCTGAATGATAAACTGCATCTGTGTAGTCACCATGTCTCAGGAGCTAAATAATACGACGTCCATAAATAGCTTTTACACAGGACATGTGGCCAGCAGTGCAGGAAAGCTGTTTAGTTTCTCCATGTGAAGTTGGTGTAACATGGATTTTATGGATAGCAGAGATCTCATTTCCACCCCGCCTTTTCCCTTCCCCGCCCTTCCCTGTTTCTCTCTCCTTCACAGTGTGAAAGAAGCCTGCATTGTTCTGAATTTGAACATCGGCTCTGCGTTGCTTCTGAAGGACGTGCTGCAGACATCTTCGGGTCAGCCTCCTGCCGCGGCAGCAATGAATGAAGTTGGGATTTATAAACTGGCTCAACAAGATGTTGAGATTTTACTTAACTTGAGGACAAACTGGCCTAACTTGGGAAAATAGTGGGTCTTTCAGAAGAAGGTGGTTTTTGGGTTTTTTTGCTGTTGTTTTTTTAACAAAATGAAAGGGAGTTGGATTTCAAGTTGTATGATGAAGTTGTGAATTAATGAAACTGGACAAATGAAAACTTTACAGAATCATTTATTAGCTTGGATTTTTTGGTGTTACTAAAATGCCTTCCATATTTTCCAAGTCCTCATGTTCCTAAGAAAATCAAAAAACAGAAAACTCAGAAAACTATGAAAACTCAGATTCCATTTACAAATATAATGATGCATATGTGTGTTGAAAAGAAATACAAAAGCAAAGATAAATTATATTCAACTTTTAGTCTCCTGTGCTAATTAAAGGAATATTACAGATAATGAAACACAGCCAATAACATTTTTTAAACTACTTAAGAATACAGAGGTTCTTTTGTCCAGGTTAGAAGTTCACTGTCTTTCTATAAAAAAACATGTTAAGAAATGGTGACTAAGATAGGACTCTACAGAAATTTTCTTCCATTTAAAATACTTTCAGGGCCGGGGATTTAGCTCATTGTTTCCGGTGCCTGCCTTGCAAGTGCAAGGTCTTGAGTTTGATCCCCAGTACCAAAAAAATATAAATAAATAAAATACTTTCTTGTTCCATTCAGTTGAGTGGCAACCATTCCTCTTCCGATGAAACATTTAGGCTCACAGTACTATGCTGCCCTCGTGGTAAGGACTATAATTAAATATTTTTGTTTAATATTTATAAAATTGATGATGAAACAAATTTTTTTTTTTTTTTTGGTACCGGGGATCAAACTCGGGACCTTGTGCTTGCAAGGCAGGTGGCAGAACCACTGAGCTAAATCCCCAGCCCCTAAAAATCTTAACTTTCTTTCTTCTTCTAATTTTCCTTGGCGTTGGGCTATATTAAATAATGATTTCTTGATTAATAAATCCTCAGAGAGTAAAACTTCAACAAATTGAGCTAAATTGACTCAAGGCTTTCCACAACTGTCAAATTTTATTCCAGTTTTTTTTCCTGATTTGGATTTACTTAATACTTTTAATTTTGTAATAGCTCAAATCTAAAATTTGTCAGGCAGCATATAACCTCTACTATTGATAAACATTTACTTGCCAGTAATGTGAAGGAAATATTTTGAGATACATCTGATTACTGTATATTTTATACAGATCTTCCCATCTGTGTGTTGAGTCCAGAGCTTTTCAGGTATTTCTAGAAATCAGGCTCTTCACCTTCTCCTTCGAGAGGTGCTGAGGTTTCCCACTAAGAATGAACTTAACGCCACCATTTCTCTCCCTTCCTAAGGGGGACTCTACTTGCTGAAAGTTTCAAGGGAATGAAATGTTTTCTCTCAAAAGGTAGGAACCTGTTTGTAGTGGTATTAGTAATACTTCAGAGTCATGCCATGTTTCTAAAATATTCATTTAAAAAATAAACTTACACTTCATCCCTAAATTTATCCAGAGTGATGATATGTCCATCATCATTTAAAACTTCATCTGCAGTACACAGATCCAGGTTCTTCAGGGCTGTAAAGGTCAGAATGAGAAGACATGAACGTTCACAAAGTAGGAAGTGTTTCCAGCTGGAGAAGGTTATGGAGTGACCATTCGTTATGACTCCAACATGTGGAAGACACTGACCTTCTTTATATTGTGCAAATGATATGGTGCCTTTGCCCGAGGGGTCCATCATGTCAAACATAGCAACAATGTTGGAGTTATTCATAAAGAAAGGAAACCTGATGCCGGTGGCTTTAGCAAGTCTCAGACGTTCCAACAGAGAGATTAAATATTCTCTTGGTTTTGCTGCAAAAGAAGAGTTCCAACTCATTCTGGTATAAAAATAAAATACACCCCAAATGGAAATAGTCATTTTTTTTGTTGTTGTTGTTTTTTGAGACAAGTTCTTGGTTGTGTAGTCAGGCTGTCCTTGAACTCATTATGTAGCACAGGCTGATCTCAAACTTGCAGCCATCCTCCTGTCTCAGCCTCCCAAAAGTCCTAGGATTATAGGGATGTGCCACCACACCCAAGGGAAGTGATCATTTAATAATTATTAAACACCCATATTCAAGGCACTGTACTAAGTGCTAGCGTTACAGGCCTTGGCTTTGATGAAACTTACAGCCAAGGAGGAAATGCCAGACATTGAAGATACAAATAATTACATACACAAGTATTCTACCTCAGGTGACTGAACACAAAAGTCCAAGGATTGCAACTTCAGCCCTTTTTGTTTTTTTAAATTTTGAGATAAGGTCTCACTAAATTGTCTAAGCTGGGTGTGAACTTGAAATCCTGTCTCACTCTCCATCTTTGCTGGGATTACAGGTATGAACCACCTCTCATGGCTTGCACCTGGACAGTAAACAAAAGAACTCACCAGGTGATCTAGTTCACAGACAGAGTTGAAAACCAAAAAGAAGAACAGCATGATACAGGCAAAGTACTGGCCAGCTGGGGTGGGTGGAAAGGGGCAGGCAAAATAAAGATAACAAAAACAGATATAGCCCTACAAATAGGAAGCATAAATATTCATGTCCAACATAAAAGCAGTATTTTGAATTAAAAGGCTCTTTCATTAAAGCAGTTTTAAAAATGAAAAATCAGGGCCAGGGATTTAGCTCAGTGGTTTCCCCACCTGCTGCGCAAGCGCAAGGACCGGAGTTCGATCCCCCATACCAAAAAAAGAAAAATCAAGATCAATATCCTCACCAGAAGGCAGGGCAGGCGTGACAAAGTCCTAAGGAGCAGCTCTGGGGCAATACTCCTACTGCTCCGTCATCTTATTTCAATCCTAGGTTTTACTCATTTTTTAAAATTCTTTTTTTAAAAGTTACTTATTGTGGAGAATTATATATGTTTGTAAAAGTAGGCCAAAGCCACTAAACTCAGTTGTTAAAGTTTGTGGCCAATCTTACTTCAATGTAGCTCCATCTATTTTCCTGTCTTCCTATATTATTTTGAAGAAAATCAGTGATTGTGTTTCATTAATGAATATTTGAAGACTGTCTAAGAGATAAGGACTCTCTTTGCTTTTTCACATTGCCACAATACCATTACTGAGTCATTATTCGAAGGTAAAAGATAGCTGAGATTCCTGATCAGAAGTAGGTTACCTTGTGTAGTACAGTACTGGTTACCGATTATCCATTGTTTGGGACTATTTGGAAAATAAGTAAATTGGATTATGTGGATTTCCACCCCTGGCTCAGGTTGAAAGGACTGTTGACAAAAGGAAGATGGAGTAGCTAGTGTGGTGGAAAGGCTATGACAGCGAGGATTCGGCACCTGGTCATCTGCTAGAACACCCACAACTCCAACAGGCGGCACACCGAGAAGGAGAAAGAATGCATTGACCCCAGTGAATAGGACCTCTCCTACAATGCCAGGAAGCAGATTTCCAGATCCACCAACAGCAACTTCCCTAAGACCTCTCCTAAGGCACTAGTGATCGGCAGGGACCTCAAGTCCAAAACCAGTGTGTTGCTTGTGACCAGACAGAAGTTCAGGTCAAAAACAGCCCCATCCCAGTCCAGAACAGGGACTTTGCAAACTCAGGTATCCAGATCTTTGTACCTAGGAGTCCCATTAAAGGCAGGACCACAGTACGTGGCTTTCTGACCATAGCAGTGTCCAGAGGACATGGGTGCCAGAAGTGGCAGCAGAGAAGCCTGTGGAGCTTTAGTGGGTCCTGGTGCAGAGCGAGCCAGGATGGGGAAGGCCCTGAGTCCACCCACCAGTGCCCCTGTGACCACAGCCATGGCCACAGGTGTGGTGGCAAGTGGGCTAGGTACATCTCTATTTATGGATGCCCTCATGGCCACTGGAACAACTGACATTCGGATGTCTGCTACAAGAGCGACAGCTGGGAAAAGGAAATTTGTTGACAGAAGAGACCAGCCTTTTGAGAAGTGGTTTCATTTCAGTGTGAGCAAGCAGAGTGCGTACAGATACAGAGGCACTATCATCAGGAAGCAAGCAGGTGATCCACAAAATCTCCAGAGAATAACTCCTTAAGTCCAGAGTGCTCTGAACATGGCTGTTGCCAGCGAGAGCAACCTGGTGCTGCTTGACACATTGGCTGTGACTTCTGCTGGGGCCTCAATTTTATTTTCTATGGCATCTCACAGATGATCAGAGAAGAGAAAGCACTAAAACAGCCAAAGCTATCAGAAACTTGGTGAAATCTTTCTTTCAGTTTAAGCCAGAGTAAGGACTAAGGAGCATGTGTGCTGCCTTTTTGTGACATGATCTAGGGTAATGAAAAATCTTGGTTTCAAAAATTTCAGACAGCTGGTCTACCATTATGTTTCCCAAGATTATAGGAGGAGCTTCTGCAAAGCAAATACTGCTCAGTGGCCAGAACCCAATGGTGCGGCAGGTGCAGGAAGGTTTCCCAGGTGTTTTTTGGCCAGGGACCTGTACCTATCAAGGAGTTGCTTCATGTACTCCAGTTGTGCTGGAGGAATCCAAGGCCCTCGCACACTGTAACATGAAGCTGGGGCCAAATGGCTCAAGCAGGCCAGCAAGAGGGGCTACGAGGTGCTGAAGAAGATGTGGGGCTCAGCCTTGGGCAAGGACTCCATGTGAAGTACTTGCAGAGGAAAAGTGATGAGTTTTGATTGGCAGCCACGTGTGGATGACACTAGAATTGGTCTGAGCAGGACATCGGCGGCTCCCAGGTGCTGTAGTCCATCCTCACAGCCTGAAACATGTTTGCTGTCGCTCATGCTTGGAAGCAGGACTGGAAACATCCAAGCTATTTATTACCTAGGACTTTTTAAGTACTGTAACTTTAAAACAAAGAACTACAAAGCTCCTTTGTCCAAATATCATTATTATTATACTTAAAAACACAGGAGGCTGGGGATTTAGCTCAGTGGTTTCGCTGCCTGCTGCCCAAGCGCAAGGACCCGAGTTCGATGCCCGGTACCAAAAAACAAACAAACAAAAAAAGCACAAAAGCATAAAAGCATAGTGTTGAGCGCTAGACTGCTCTTGGAAGGTCTAATTTCTTGTTTTCTTTGGCTAGTACTGATAGGAAAAGAATCGTGTTTTATTCATTTTGGGTGACAGAAGAGTCTGGAGTAATGTTTGTTTACCTTGTTTTTTCCTCCTAGAATATAGAATCTAAAGGGTATCAGCCAGCCTCGTTTTCCCTGCCTCACATAGCTACAAAGAGCTCTGAGACGTTTCCTTTGTTTCCAAAAGGGAGGTGCAGCTATTTCAGAGATGGAGAATTCTAAATCCAAAGCAAAAGCAAAACACACCTTCTAGAAAAAATCTTTCCAATGAACATTCTCAGCAAGCACTTAAGATTCATGCTGAGATAGCAATGGGTATCCCTTGTTTTCCTAATGTGCCCAGTTATTAGCCAGTTAACACGAAGACACCACTGTCTAGAAGAAAGCCTGCTCTGCAGTATTAGTGAGTCACTGACTAGGTTAAGTGTGAGCATCCAAGTTGTAAGTTAGTCTCAGTCAGCTTGAAATCATTTTTCTAAGCCTTTTGAAAAGTAACTCCATGAGGGGTGCTTCTTGTTGCTGGGTAAGAAATACTACTTTATACACAGTTTTGGCTTCCTGTCTGCAGATGTGCAGACACAACTGATGTATTACACCAAAAAAAGTATTTTTATGTTTATGAAGTATAATTTTTAGGTTCACTTAAAATATATTTTAAGAAGCTAAAATTCTTTTGGCACACTATTCAACATAGAAACATCTTTCAAACCAAAAAAAACTACTTACTTTACTCAGGTGTGATGGCACATGCCTGTAATCCCAGTACTCAGGAGGCTGAGGATCACTGTGAGTTTGAGGTCAGCCTGGACTTCTCAAAATACCAACAAAACAAAACAACCACCACTACCACAAAAAAAAAACACGTAACTAATATTTATTGACCTACTTTGAGCATTTTCTATGGATTACTTCACTCACTCCTCACAACTGTCACTTAGTCAAGGCCACACGGCCAGTACAGATCCAGGCCATGGGCTTCTAGAGCTCGCAGACTTTATCACACTCTACCAACTCAAATACAGGGCGCATCTTCAATTGCCCAATCTACTCGGTTGTGACGTTCTCTGGTGAGTCTCCTCAGCAGCCCCCAAATTCATCTTACCCTTCTATTCCCGCAGCAGTATCTCCATCAGGACTACAAGAAGTGCCTCTTTTAATTTTTTTCCAATTTTATTATAGCCATTCCCCAAAATTCCATATTTCTTCTATTCTTAGCATAGACCTGTCACTGAGCAATGGGTGGCCAGCCAACTACTGTATTCCCAGTATGACTATATTTCTAGGGCCGAGTTTGCCTACTGACTGACTTCAGGACAGACCAGCATTTACTACTAAATAACTTATGAAGATCTGCTGCATTCCAGAGCTCTTAGAATTTAGGAATTGAGAATGCGGGACTGTGGGCCTGTTTCCTCAATGGTAATAGCCCAAGCAAGCTGCCTTGTTTTATTTTCCGTAATTCCCCTACAATTTGAAGGTTTTCAAACTGAACACTTATCACAATGCCAGGGACTTCACAAAGACACAGGATAAAGACAGTGGGTCTTCCTAAGAATCAACTATACCCTGGTGAGTAATAGAATACTTTATATATATTAAGTGATATACTTATACCAAGAAATGGGAGTATCAGCAGAAGAACCAAACTCATGACATTTTAGGACAGGACAAGCAACTTCTAATGCTGCATCAGACTAATGCTGCAGGCACTGAAAGTTCCCTTTCCTCTGTCCTTGATAGGGGCTGGCAGGTGGCCTGAGAAGCATGGCACACGTGCTC